GGGTACAAAGAATAACATCCTCTATGAGATCTTTATTTTACATCTAATTTAAAGTGTGATACACTGGATACAAGTTCCATGTTGCAGTCAGGTGGGTATTAAATTTTTCTATCAAAGAGGTGGCTTTTTATTTCTGATGCATATATTTTCGCTTCTCTTATTTTGAGACATTTGTTCATTTTGAGTGTAAAGAGAATACTCTGAGAAAAAAACTAGTGTTTTTTACCCAAGCCTCTAGCCATTCTTGGAGTTTAAAAAAGATAAACAAATTTGTGGCCAGTGTTAATTATGCCTCATTTCAGACTTAATGATGTGCTAGCTGTAATAGAAATTACTTCGGATACTGATGTTTTTTAAATGTTGGGTTATGGCTAAAGTCTGTTTTGTTCAAGTATGTTAACATAACTCTAAGCACTATTCAGACCTTATTTTTGTCACCTTATATTTGTCAAATGAAGTGTGTGAAATTATGTAATTTATATGCTAAATATTGTGACATTTGCATTAAAAAATTATCATTATGACCTCATGTGGGCAATGTGGCAACTTCTTTTGGACAATTCAGTAAACAAAACTTTTTAAAATATGAGGGGTGGTGAAGGAGCTTTGTTGAGGACAAAGTGCTTGTCTTCCTCTTTGTCTTAGAAAGGTGACTATCTTGAAGTATGATTTAAAAGGGAAAAATGTTCACCAGTAAGATTATACAAGGACTTTCTTATGGTACTAAAAGAATTCTGGAAAGCATGCCAGGATTGAGCAGTATTATTTGGGTCCTGACAGACTGCTGAAGGAAGGAAAGATGAGCTTGTTGGTGACAGAATCAAAGATATAATTACTAGTAGGTTTCTTCTTGATTTTCTACCTGGAAATTCTAGAAGTGGTGGAGTAGCAGAACAGAGTGGAAAGGCTCTGGTGAAGAGTTTGATGACTCTAAAGCTGACACTGAGCTGGGGGAAAGGTATTGTATATGAAATATTTTAATTGTAAATAACTGGGTTGAAGGAATTTGTGGTCTTGGTTCTTCAGGTATTGCATTTCATCAATGCACATCAACAGCATTTTAGAGCAAAACTTAGACTGTGCTGTGGAAACCAGTGAAATCTTGATTAAAAATGTTCTCAGAAAAGGAAAAAATTATAGGATATTCTTGTTTGGAGATCTCTTTTTCAGATACCCACAGTGTACACCCCCACAAGCCTTCTCTTCTCCAGGCTAAGCAGTCCTAGTACTCCCAGCATCACTGCCTGTGAAAGATGCTGCAGTCCATCACTGTGGCTTTAATCTTTCTTGTTCTGGGGATGCCCAAACTGGACACAGGACTCCAGATGCAGCCTCCCTAGTGCTGACTGCTTTGCTACAGGATGAAAACAAGAAGTCTGTGTTGTACAATATTCAATGTGACCACTTGCATAATTAATTTTATAATGTGGTTCTTTGTCAGGCAGAGAATCTGTCTTAACTATTAGTTGGCACTTAGCCCAAAACCCTTTTTTAAAATTTTTTATTCCCCACCTTCCCAGTAATGCTAATGATCTGCTGAGACTCCAAGTCTGAACAGCTTAGCTGTCATAAGGGTGAGCAGGAAATGCACTACTTGCCCTTGTTTCTTGTCTTGATGCCCTTGTCTGTATTAAAATTCAGAAGCGTTGCTTGCAGTTCTTGAAAAACATTTCACTTGCTTGTTTTTCTTTATGCTGGGGTTTGGTTTTGTTTTTAAGGTTAAACTCAAGAAATGTTTTCAGTGTGGAAGTTTTAATTAGACTTTAAAATAGACTGTAAGAGGTGTTAGGATTAAGAGTATTTCTCAAGCAATACCCAGTCATGTCTTGTAAGCCTAGGCTTTCCTGTTACAATGTTTTAATTTGTTGAGCATAAATTTTCTAGGGAGTGATACTATTCCTTGTAAAGTCTGTGAGATCTTAGATTTTGTATCCAGTTTGAGATTTACCAGAGAAGTATGAAAGCAATTGTTGGAACAGCCTCATGTAAGTTATTTTAATTGAGGTCTGAAGTTGTTTTAGGCTGAGAAGCTATTTTGTGTGTTTTAAGCTTGTTTTAAGTGTAACTTGTTACATTTCCTCTAGAGGACTTGCCATTGTGTATTTCCAAAATACATAATCTGAATCTACGACGGAAAGGACATTTGAGAATTGTTTATAAATATTTATAAATTGCTGTGATACTCCCAGATCAGAGGTGATTTAATGTGATGAAAAATTATTTCCTGGGAAAACACACAGAGTCCCTTAGAGGTTAATGTAATATTGGAATGCAGACTGAAAATACCACAGAGAGCTAAACCACATGAAAGTCAAAAGTTAAAGCTGCTTGTGATTTTAAAACATATATACTTGAAATTAAGTCTTTGCCAGCCCCAGACAATCAGAGGTGGTGGGGCTGTCCATTTGTTCCCAAATTTAAGGGTAAATTTCCCCCTTCTAATACATGGTCACAATCAGCACTGGCAGCTGAATCAAAGGGATAATTTTTTTACTGATGAACCACTTTGCACGTGTGAAAAAACATGACTGATTTTTACACCATTTCCAAAAGGATTTTGATGAAGACCTGAAGGGAGAACTTTTTATGAAAATGTTGCTGTTGTTGACTTGATGCTCAAGATACTAGGAGATCAAAGATGAAATTCCAGTTACCTTCATCATCTTGCGTCTTGGAAGACTGCAGCCCTAGCATGAAGGTGTCTCTACTGGCTCCAGGAGTTGCTTAAAAATGTTTTATTTCCTTTTACTGTATATCCTGTATTTTCCTCTTAAGTGTATGTGCGTGATTACTTGGAAAAGTCCTGCTTGCTTCCTTCCCCACGGATGTGGCTCTCCTGTAGTGAAGCTGTTCCATGCTTGTGGGAAGGCAGAGGTGCCTCTGCACTCAAGTGTGGGAAGAGCTGAGCAGATATCCCAAAACCTGAAGGGAAGGATGTGTCCCAGGGCACTTCATGCTCTTTGAGCTGCAACCCAAGTGTTGCCTCAGGAAACCCTTTCTTCAGCTTTTATTTTCTCTACTAGTGCTCAGTGAGGTTTTGGTATATGGACTGTAGGTGAAAGGACATAGGAAAATCTTAATATTCCAGTGAAAATTTTGAGAAGATTTAGGCATGTGTGGCATTGAAAAAAACATCTTGGCAGTTGTTCCTCACTATGTTTTAGCCAACCTTTAATTTTAACATATATTACTGGTCTTGCAAGTGAGATTGATGAAAACTACATACAGTTCTTTGTTTCTTTGGTACTTTTCTTCTACAAAAATTAGGGTAATTTTTCTTAAAAGTACGTTTTCATAGCCTTTATTAAATACTCATTGCCATCTTCCTTAGCAGATTCAGAGTCAAGCCAGAACATTGTTACCTTTTCTTTTTAGCTGTATGGCAAGCATGTATCTTATTGGAGGGATCTTGTCATCTTAATTTCACCTAACCTTGTATACCATCTGCTTGGTTTTGGTGAAGTGTTGTTTTCTTGACCAAGGAGTTTAGAATAAATTTCATGAATAGCCTAACCAAAACAGAAAAAAATAAGCAGTGCCCTCCTTCTGTGTGTGTGTTTTTCTTGTTTGAAGAACAGTAATCAGATGATTTTAAGAAGGTAAATGTTGTACTAAAAAAAAACCCCCACCAAACTAACAAAAAAACAAAACAACAAACCTAAACAAAACCCAACCAACCACATCCCACATCATTATCTGAGTAGCAAAAGAAATGTTTAGGAAATAAAGCTATTCCCCGCCCCCCCCCCGCCCATGGTTCTTCTTGCCAGAGTACTTGGCACACTTAATTGTGTGCTGTAGCAGTGTTCCTTAGAGGTGGGGCTTTTTTTGAGCCAGAACCAGCTTAGATGCTTCACATAGCCTCATTCACTTGCCTCTCACCATGGATGAAAAGGCAGTAATAGTTGCCTCTTGTATACAGTGTAGGAACTGTAGTGTGTTCATGGTTATTATATACATTGCTGGGAGCTCATAACAGAGATGCAAAACCTCTCATGCTTCTGAAACCACAACACAATGTGGAGATGGGCACCTTTATGCTCGCCCATATAATTGCATAATCAAATGACACAAGTTAATACTGAGAGCTGAATCTACTAGAATTCAATTAAATGAGTAAAAGTCATGAGAAAATAAATTAGAACAAATTTCATTAGTGAAACTTAATGTACCAAGCTTTAGTTCAAAATTTATAGTACCTTCAATTCACACATAATATTAACTACTACTTTTTCTTCACCAAATATGTGAAATAATGATGTAGTGATGACATCTAAATACAGATAGTGATATCTAAATCTTTCCAATCACTCTGGGAAATGCATTTAAAATTTATAAGCTTCCTTTTTTAAAAGGTGCTTTAAAATAATTCCCGATTTCCTAGTTGGCAGTATAAAACATTTGAGTTACAGCAGAGTACGCTCTCTGTTCATACACAGTGGCAGGGATTGCACTGCAAACAGTTTTATAAAATCTTAAGAAGTGTCTAAACCTGATTTGACCTGACTTAGTTAAACATGTTCCTTTTTGAGAGCAACATCTCTTACTATCCCAAATAATTTATGCTTTTCATTTATATTTAAGTGGGGGGGGGGGGGCGGGTGATTACTTTTGCAGTGGAAACTGCAAAATAATTCTGAAATGAATCCTTTAAGTTGCATGAGGGAAGTTGAGACTGGATTTTAGAAGCAATTCCTTCACTGACAGGGTTGTCAAACATTGGAACAGGTTGCCCAGGGAAGTGGTTGAGTTGCCATTCCTGGAGGTATTTACAAGATGTACAGGTGCAGCACTTAGGTACGTGGTTTAGTGGTGGACTTGGCAGTGCTGGGTTAATGGTTAAACTCAGTATAAAAGGTGTTTTACACCCAAAAAGATTCAGCTGTTTTCTTTTCTGATGTTTATGGCAGCAACTTGCTTTTTGTGCCTGAGATCTCCACATACTTGTGAAAACTATGAGTGCTTTCAATTTATTTTTCTATTTTATTTTCTGATTTCAGATATTCCTTATAGTTATTCATATCCAGGACCCAGAGTATAATGGGGAGAAAACTGGACCTTTCTGGCTTGACTGATGAAGAAGCAGAGCATGTGCTCCAGGTGGTTCAGCGAGATTTCAGCCTTCGTAAGAAAGAAGAAGAAAGGCTGAGGTAAGGATACAACAGGATTAAAAATATTGGTCTATTTTGATTATTACAAACTGGCTTTGGAGGAAAACAGGGAACATGGCTTTTTTTCTGATGTTCTGTGCATTAATAGTCATTCCTGTCACAGAGGCAAGAAACATTCAAACTCCTCCACATGAATTCAATTATTGAGTAGTAATTAATTTTTGCATTTAGTCTATCCTAGATTAAACCACAGTGATGGTCTCTAAATCACCTGTATATCTCTCCTGGGTGGAGGCTAAGTAGTTTGACATAGCAAAAGCAGAAGTTTACGATAAGAGAATTTTTTGCCTGCTGTAGTTGGTTCCTTTTTATATTCAGAAATTTTGTCTACATACAAACATCTGAAAGTGAAGAAGTTGAACCCACCTCTTTCCCCCAAAACAGTCAGTGGGATATATTATCCATTGTATTGAGATAACTTTGCTTGCAGTAGGCTGTGTACAAAATGATTGCAAGCAGAAATAATCCACAAGAAAAGACGGAACTTGTTGGCAGGGTAGCTGAGGAAATTCGGTATGTGACAAGGGGACTATAGATAGAGACCTGAATTGGTCAATGCAATATTTTTCTTTCTAGTCTCAACAATATTTCCTTGAGTCATTATGCCTGATTTTTTTATTAGCTTCTTTGAACACATCGTTATTTATTATCCAGAATGCTCTGATGTCTCTATCTATAGTTGGCAAATGCACATTCTCTTACTGTGCTACTCATATCTCAGGCATAAACATTTTTCTTTTTCATTTAGTATCAAGCTGAAGTCAACAGAGCAGGAAGATGACTGAAATCAACAGAAAACTAGGCATATATACTATGTGCAATTGAAGCTGAGAGGAATCCTGTCTCACCTGGAACATTAGGAGCAAGAAATGTCTTGCAGCATAGGCCTAATTGAGTTTTAGCGTGCTGTGCAAGTTCTTGTCTGTGTTGGTACTGCAAGCTTGCTGCAGGGAGAAAACAACTGCATGAGGATGGCATACAAAATTTTTTTGGTTTTTGACTGTTTTTTGTACCATGGGTTGTTCTGATTACTTTAGTAATTTTTCACAACACAGCCAAGAGATTCTAGAAACAGTTTAAGGAGGATGAGTGTGTGAGCTCTCACTGGCTTTTTATACTGTGACTGGTTGTATCTTACTCTGGAGCAGGCATACCACAGCAAGGATGTGCTGGGGCATCTTGCCTGTTCTATACAATAGATCCATAGTGGGAGGAGGAGGGGGAAGAATGCAAGGCATGAACACAGAAAATTAACCAGAAAGCCTGGATAGATGAAATTTTTGCCAGTATTTGTGTTTTGCCATTTTGCTGCTGAAGCTTTTCATGACACCTAATTTTCATGACACTTAATTTCACAAACAGAAAACTGTTGTAAGAAGACAGCTAAAATACTGGAGAGGTAGGAGAAACACATGGATGCAACTCAGTTTATATATGAACATGTATATTTCAAGTATATATAACTTTTTTCTTCTTGCAAAGTTAAGCCTTTTGCAAGTGTTAAGGTATGTTAAAGTGCTGTGAATAATGAGCTGTACTGACAAAGGAAAATTCTGAAATTCAGCTGATAGTTAAGATATATGAATTTAAGTTGTTTTAATGACACTAAAAATTGCTGGTGAAGTTCAAACCTTACTTCTGACTTAAAAGCTATGACTTTTTTTTTTTTTTAATATGGCTGCTCTGGTTGGTTTTGGTGGCTTGGTTTGCAGCACATCTTTTTGTCTTACTATGTGGTTGAAATTATAAGAAAATTTTATGATCTTGCTATAGATTAGATTTTTTAGCCTGTAAGAAAAGAGAATAGATTTACTTTGATGTTCTTGGCTCAGTTGTGTTTGTATTTAGAATGTTATCAACTGGCAAAGTTTACCATGTAGTTTCACTTTAGAAGTGAAACTCTATATGGCTTTGTAATCTTTTCTAAGATAAAAAAAGCTGGCATATATATATTATGTTAGACTTCTAGACATTTAACTGATTCAAAACCAAGCTACATCTGAAGGTATAGTTTTGCAATTTTTTTTTATTCCTGTAATTAATTTGAGGTAGCAGCATTAGACTTTAAATTGAACTGTTGAAGATTTTGCATATGATACTTTCTTAAAATAGGGTTTCTTTGTAATTCTCCATATCATAGATAGTTTTATTTCTGTGTGCTTTTCCCCACCATGATTTAAGTAACTCTTTCACATATCTCTCTCTGTATTATTCCCATTGGTAACAATTGTTTCTAAAGATCAAGAAATACTTAAGGGAATACATGATAGATTTCCACTGTATCAGGAGAATAATGAAAGCTAAAAACACTGTGAGTGGTTGATAACTTCAATTTTGGTTTTCTAGTGACAGCTGAACAGTTAACTAGCATACTACAAGAAGTGAAGCTTATCTTTACTTCTAATAAATGTTTTTAAGGTAGTAAAGGGACAAATGTTTTGGAGCTAACATTCCAATGTTTTTTATAGTATTGCTATTTTTGCATGTTAATTTATTTTTCTGTATTCTGTAAACAAAATGACATAATGTATGGAGAAGAGCCATACTGGTGATCTGCATTTTGTGCTGCAAAGCTGTTTTAAATTTCTCTGCAGTGAGGATTTTTTGCAGTGGTTCTCTAATTTAAGTCCTTCTCAGAACTTTATCTCCTACTGTTATCAGACAGTTTGCTCTCGTACATTTTGTGAGAAAAAATTAGTTGGCTACAGCCAGTGAGATAACAATAAGATAAACGTGTACATGCTTAGTGAATAGAGTGGTTGGTTTGTTTTGCCTTACTTCTTCATATCAGTTTTGTTTCTTTTTTTTTGCTATGGCATTCAGCCTGATATGAGATTAATAATATTTACTGTTCTTTGTCACTTGATCACCCATTATCTTCCTATTTTGATTAGGTGTTTGCTGTGGTCTTTGGCAGTAGTGTTATGTTTTTATTTCTCCCAATGTTAGTGTAGTCACCTGGAACCATTGTGGCTAAAATTATAACACACTTGCAAATGGATGGGCTGTTTACTGTGAATCAGTTGAAGTAGGGAAATGAGGCAGATCTGGTGTAACTGGGAAGGTGATTGGTTTGTGTTTCTTGATGTGTATGCTCAGGACAACCTTGTGTACATCCCTTCTCCAGGCTGTCTCTGGCCTCCTGGGACACTAAGAATCTTAGATAGTGTTTTGAGGAAGTTGACTGGACATACTAATGATTTGTTTCCTCATTTACAGTTTATTAATCTTGAATTTCAGGCTGCATGCAGGTGCAGAATGTCAGCAGTGGAGAAGACTGCACAGTGTTGAGGGTTAAACATCTAATATTTTGCTGTGCATAGCATCTTTGTCATATCTGCAGTTTGGAAGGGACTGTGTCCTCTTTTTTTTAATAGTTATTTAAAAAAAAAAAATTACAGAGGAAGCTAATAAGAGCTTCCAAGCCCAAATGCTTGTTTGTGAGGTAGGCCCTTATACATAAAGAGATGTATAAAGGTGTTTGGTGTCTTTTATTTGTTGCCTGTTTATTCAGTTTTCAAGATTGTCTAAATATGCCACTGTTTATTCTCATCCACTGTGGGCAAAATCAAATCCCCCTCTGGTTTTGTTTTTACAGTTACTTCTGTATATATAAACATTGTAACCATTTGTTTTAGGTCAGGAATGCTGAGAAGTCAAGATGTGTTAAATAAGTGAAATTACAATTTCACAGAAAATATTTGATGGATCATCTTATTGTGGTAGATGATCTTGATCTGTTATGTTTTAGCCATATGGACAGGTTAAAAAATGGCTGTTCTGATTCTGAATTTAACATTCAGAGTGCAAAAGTTGGAAAATTAGAAGGGCAGAAGGCTTCAGGCATAGAAGGGGCTCAGTGCTGATCAGCTGTAAACAGAGCAGACTGCAAAGCAGGAGCTTTACCTGTCAGCAGCTACTTTACCTTAAGAGGCCTTGGTTGGAGTGACTTCAGCTGTCTTTCTATTGTCATTGGCAAAGAAGAGTTTCCATCACCATAGTGAATGCTGGACCAGCCCTTTGCATGCTAGTATTTTAATGGTATAACTTGCACTGGGCAAGGATGAAAAATGCTTCTTTGCAGGCAGCATGGCTCTCTTTTGTTTAAACCACTGCTGTTAATCACCTGTATTTACAAAGAAAAACTCCTGACCCTCTGGTGCCACATGGATATGTGATCATAACACTTCAGCAACTTAATATACTTATGTGGGGTTTGCTGGAACAGCACAGGGGAAATATTGAGAGCTGACTGTTGCCCACAGGCAGAAACATCACCGTGTCTTGCTTTATATTGTCTTTCATAGCTGGGTTGCTGAATTTCAGCTTTGCTACCTTTATTTATACAGTCACATTTTCAATTGTAGTAAAGACAAATGCAGTGATTTGTCATCAATTTTCCAGAAGTGTTTTATTTGCAGAAAAAAATGAGATGTCTGTGCTCACAGGAGGGCCCTCTCTACTCTGGTTGTTCTAATTACATTTTTATCCAAAGAATGAGCGAGGGATTAGAACAGAATGTAGAAGATTATGAAATGGTTTAAATTGTTTTTGCCTACTTCTTTTTTGCTCCTCTTGCAGCATATTCTATTGTAGCATGAGTAGGCCTGTGAAGAGGCTTCTGAAAAGACAAGTTCTCATACCTGACAAAACCCAGAAACCAGTTTGACACTTTCTTGTCAAACTACTGTAGACTTCAGTGTTGTTACAGTATATGGCATGGGTCTTGTAGTGGATAAAATATTGAATTTCTTCCAAAGCTTGCTAATCAAAATATTGTCATTGTGAGTCATATCAAACTGGCAAAATGCCAGGACAGACATTTGGATAGCTATCTGTTGATTCTACATATTAGTTCTTGTTTCTCCTTCCTGTGGCAGGCTTGTACTAAATTCTTTAAACCAAACAAAAACCAAGCAATAAAAACCATTGTGTCTGTCTTCCCTCTTCTCCTCGCCTCCAAGCAAAGCCATTTTATA